CAGATAACGCTTATGGGGTTTATGTTTCTAGTCACATCTTCTCTGCTTGGATACGTGAGTCATGATTCATTGGTTTCTTGCTCTTTAGTCTCTTGGAGCATTTGGTTGGTAAATATTTCTGCTTATGGATTCGATTTTGAAGACTCTTTTCTTTACCTGTCTCAGATATACTCTCCTCAGTTGGATTCTCCTCCTCCACGATGGGTTCACTTCGCACATGGTTTACTTCTATTTTTGTATCAGGTCTGCGTCTCTCTCATTTTCTTCAGAAGTCTAGCTTTTTTCTCTATTTGCTTGTGAAGGTGTTTTAAGTCTTTTTTCCTCACACCTTATGAGCTTTTATCATTTTCCTTTAGACATTCGATGCGGTTGATGGGAAGCAAGCAAGAAGGACAAATTCCTCTAGTCCCCTAGGAGAGCTTTTCGATCATGGTGATTTCTTTTTCCCATGTTCCACTTTTTAATTTTTTTTTTCTTCAGTTTGTTTCTAGATTTCTGACATGTGTTCCAATATTGCAGGTTGTGACGCACTTGCTTGTGCGGTATGCATTTAACAATCCCTTAATCTTTTTTTCCGTTTCTTAGTCGGCTTGTAATCAATGCTGAAGGTTTTACAATGAAAACAGTTTGAAGCCATGGCATTTGGAAGCACCGCAATGTGTGGAAGAGATACTTTCTGGTTCTGGGTTATTTCAGCTATTCCATTCTATGGAGCTACATGGGAACAGTAAGTGCTGCTTCGAGCTTTCAGCTTTTGTCTCATAGCACATTAATATTTGTGACAATTGTTAGCAACGTTCTAATACTTTTCCTTAACCTTCTCTAGCTATTTCACCAACACACTTATTCTTCCGGTCATTAATGGACCTACAGAGGGTCTTGCACTTATATATGTCAGCCACTTCTTCACATCCATTGTCGGTATGCTTCTTTCTTGTCTGCAATCTGTGAAATTTTCACTCCTCTTGTTTATGCTTGGCCAATCTTTAAGCATTTCTCTGTAAAACAATGTCTTTCTACATTTGGGTTTGGTCTTACTTTGATTCATCTTTATATTTTCTTGTCTAAAGGTGCTGAATGGTGGGCTCAGCAGTTGGGAGAGTCCATACCATTGTTTAGTTGGGTGCCATTTGTGAATGGTATAAATATTTCCCTCACGTGGTTTCTTTTCTTGCACCGTTGCTCTCCTTGCTTTCACACTAAAAGTTTATTCTTGATTGTTTGTTCTCTGTTTTAGCGATCATAACTTCCAGAGCAGTACTATACATGATGATTGCTTTTGCTGTTATACCAACTGTCGCATTCAAGTGAGTCTTCCAAACTTTGAACGATCTATTTGTTAATTTCCACTTCTGGAAAAGGAAGTGAGATGACCTTAACACTCAAGTACAATGAAATAGATGGAGATTCAATGAAAGAACAGTTTTTCCTTCACATGAATCTGTGTATCTTTTTCAGAAATGAAAGTAACGTTAATATTGAATAAGACTATTCGTTAGTGATCAATTATGGAGTTCTTTTTAGTTGAGAAGTTCCTAGCTGCTAAGCTGGTACATATGCGGTTTCATTTTGCAGTGTGTCAAATGTCTACAAAGTCGTTCAATCAAGAAAAGGGAGCATGGTGTTAGCATTAGCTATGGTAGTCTCCTAACTACCAATTGATTCCTAAATACTTATTTACGCTGCAAAATTAATGTTCTGTGTAAATCTTGTTTTCAGCTGTATCCCTTTGTTGTCCTACTTGGAGGAGTTTTGATATGGTAAAGTCTTGTTTTCTTCTCTTATAGAAAGACCTCGCGATCTTACTCTCTCATTTGTCATTGAAAATTATTGGGATCCTATTTTTGTTTCAGGGATTTCTTGTCTCCAATCAATCTTATAGCAACATACCCTCACTTAGTTGTACTCGGAACTGGACTTGCATTTGGATTCCTTGTGGTATGTCTTGATTTGAAACTCTTAAGTTAGATCAATATTACAGTCATTTCGAAAAAGCTGTAACAGAAAAAATGTTCTTTGTGTTTTTCGTTTTCAGGGAAGAATGATTCTTGCTCACTTGTGTGATGAGCCAAAAGGACTGAAAACAAACATGTGCATGGTAAATCTGTTAACGTTTCTCTCGCCACTTTCTTCATCTTACTGGTTTTGGAAATGTAACCTTATGAAATCTGTTTTACTCAAAATGCAGTCTCTACTCTATCTACCCTTTGCACTTGCAAATGCTCTAACCGCAAGATTGAATGATGGGTATGTTTTTCCTTCTTTACATTTTCTGCTCAAACTTGATCGGCTTTTGTCTCTAAAACCAGATAAACTTCATCTTTCAGGGTCCCTCTAGTCGACGAGTTATGGGTTCTTCTTGGTTACTGTATATTCACAGGTTTGCTTCCTTATGAAGTCTTATTTAGCTGTTGATTGTTTCTTTGTCAGTTCTTGTACCGCTCTAAACCGTTTTTTTTTTTTTATGAATCAGTGTCACTATACTTGCACTTTGCGACATCGGTCATCCATGAAATTACGGCTGCTCTTGGAATCTACTGCTTCAGGTGAAGAAAAATTTTGATCAAAACTGACAAAAACTCTATGTTCTCTTTTGATACAGTCAATTTAA